ACCCTGCCACAGTGTAGGAGAGGGCTTATTTGGGACTTGCATATCCATACATTCCCTCTGGGACCTGGAACTCTGTATTCTACCTTTTTGTGTATGTCTGTCTCTGACAGATTACAAGAAACCTGAGGCCAGTAATCCAACCTCGTTCGCCTTTGCATATCCTCTAGTACCTAGCTTCATGCCTTACACATGGTAGGCACTCAGAAAATTGGCGAGCTATCAATGTTGTAACTATTATTTATTAGTATTATTCTTAGGACCACTAAATAGAATAGAATAGAAGAATCATAGAAGTATTAGAAGCATAAATAGAAGCAGTAAAAGCATCTATGGAGATCTGGCTTCTGAACTCAGCTCTGTTAGTGACTATGGGATGACTTGGACTCTTATTCTCTCTGAGTTCCAGAATTTAAAAGCCAAGGCTTCAGATGAGAGAATATCTCTGACCCCTCCATGCTCTTTCTTTCTTTCATCTATTTCAGTTTATTCCACTCTTCCCATTGTAGTTGTGTGAATCTCCTACTACTCCTGGTACTCTGCTGTCTTGTTTCTTCCTCTGACCGCCTCTGGTCATTCAGCGCACACGGGATTCAGAAAAGCCATGACTAGAAAAAGACTCACAGAGTGGGTTCAGGCTGAAAACTGGTTGGAGAGGCTTGGTGGAGCCACGGCTCCTCAATGGACATAAGCACTGTCGAAAGTCTTGGACAAAACTAGTGCATAAAATATAAGGACAGCAGTTAACAATTTTTAAAGCGCATTTGTCAAAATTGAGAATGTCTCTGGCTCTCAGAGGAGATGCTAGTCCTGGAGTGGTTAGCAGCCCTTAGATGATGATGTGATCAGTTTTACAGCCTTTCCAGGGTAGACTATTTTCATTCCATCCATGCATGAAGAGTCCTTGTGGACCAGAACAGACTTCTTGCGGGAAGTAGGGAAGCTAGCTCATTTCTTTCGATGCTCTCATAGCCATTTGAAGGAGTGCTTCACTGTGGCACGTTGAAGAGAGCACTGTCAGGAGGTTAGGGTTCCGAGAGTCTATGCTTAAGTGCTTTCCAGATCCTTCAGGAATAGAAACAAACAAATAACCAGTGTGGTCTCAAGGATATGTAGACTTCAGTTTCCTCATCCACAAGATGCAAAGGGTCTTTTATTTTTCTAAGTGTTACACACATAAAGATCGTCTTCCTACCCAACTCATAGGAGAGTTTTATTAAAGAACAAAAACAAGATTTTTGACACTTTTAATGCAGACACAAAGTGTGTTATAATTTGGCCAAGCCATATAGGGGTTTATAACATATTTATAAGGTGATTTGTAGGTGAAAGCATCTGACTCAAGAGAACATTACAATTCCTGGAAAACTATTTGTACGAATCATTATTTTAATTTCCATTTTAAAAACCGAGGTGGCACATAATAAGCAGCTATTGTGGTTAGAACCCTTCTTGTTCGATAAGATATTTTTCTTTAATGTTCCATCACCATGTATTTTAAAGTGAGTGAAATGTTCCTCTTCATGGAATTGTCTTTGATGATACAAAAACACTTTATATTACGGAAACAAAAAAAAAAAGTGTTTACTCATATGTTAGGCTGATTCTTCTAAGACCTACTTTCTCCAGGAATGGCATTTTAGTGTTAAAAACAAGTTGGGCAGGGTGGTTTGTACTTCTCTATTTCCCCTCTTGCTTAGATGTACCTTCAACCGGAAACTTATGAGCTCACACTTTCTAAGCATGTTCAATAATGAAGTGGTAGACCTCCACTGAATGTTTCAGGACTGCAGGAAGTGGTGAGAGTTATTCAATTGTTGGTGTTCTCCCTTTATATCTGCACCAATCCTGGGCTGCACTACAGGGTTGGGAAATATTGTTTGTGTTGGAAGTGGTATCTTTCAGAAGAGATGTAAAAACCAAGGTCTAGGTTGCTTGTGGTCACTAAATACACATAATGTTTTCTCTGAGTGTAGGGATGTTCTTGAGTTTCCTTTCTAAATTTATATTCCTTTATTCATCTATGTTTTTTTTTCAAGTAATTTGAAGACTGTATTCCTCTTTTCCTAAACAAAACTAGAATGAAGCGTAACTACACTTCTTAGCTCTATAATAAGACTGTTTTAGGGATGGATAAAAGTGATTTTCCTTTAAGGAAAGGTCATAAACTAAAATTTAAGTTTCTTATAAAAAGAGTAAAGGTAAATTAATATTTTCTCTCTTTTATTGTTGGCATATCTTATAAGTTACATAGCGGTTTTTTGTGATGTTGTCTTCAGAAGCTTTTATTTTTCCAGTATCAACATTTTAAGTGTTTTCCATTTGTGTAAGAAAACAATATATCAAATGTCTCAGAAACACTCCATTTTAACTCTTTTCATGTCTAATGTTGTTTTTAACACTAAATATTCAATGTGCACATCCAAGGTCTGCAAAACCCATGCACTCTTGCTCTCTCTTTCTCTCTCATCCTTCCATTTGACTCCTCTGAAAATGGTCAGAGAAGGATCATAATGCACAAATCTTTCTTTGAATGTTTCCTTATGTTAGATCAATTCCTTCTGAGTTCTGGGCTTGCCAATACTAAATTTCCTGCCAGGGCAGTAGTCTATTTTTAACATTTTAGGGGCTTATTCTTCGTTCCAAATCTAACAAGCATATTCTGTGAAGTGAAAGAGAGAAAGCTGATGGGTGCACTTACAAATCAGGACCATCAGGATTTGCAATTTCTGTAGAATCAAAGATATGAATGAGAAAGACCAATTAGAACACTTAAAAGATCATTTGTCACTGCTTTAATCTTCATGTACTTTTTAATCATCATTTTCTTTGACTAAAATTATTAGAATCTTTGTCATATTCATCTCAAAGCCAAATGAGAATAGTTGTGTGCCTTTTATATTTTCAATATTTTGGAGCATTTTAACATGTCATACTAGATTATGGGTGGTGGGTGCTTGTTTTAATAGAGAGAGTTTTGGTTTGTGGCACATTCAGCATCATGTCAACCCAGTGTTACTCATCTAGCTCTGTATTTCATATACAAATGAAGGCTGAGGGCTTTGTTTCTGTTATTCAATAGCATTTGTTGAATGCAGAGATTAATAGATCATCTTCTACCCTGAATCAGAGGCCCTCTGAAACATCAGACCCAAAAAATTGGACACGGCCTATTAGCCCAAAAGAACAGGTTGCCAATGATCTCCATGTTTATTTAAATATTTAGCTCTAAAGGAAGCAATCATTCCTTTATACTTCTTTAAATTTAGTATTGACATTTTTATTTTGGGAAAGGAGGTCTTTTTTTTTTTTAACATGGATACAGGAAAAGAAAACTCTCCAATAAAAATATTGTCTAAAAAGTTTGTTTTGTCTGCATGATTTACTAAATATGTACAATTTCAATTCACAGCGAAGGTAACAAAGATTTAAACAGCCAACATCACAAATGTCTCAAGTTCTAAAAAAAAAAATCACTGTGCACAGTTTAACAATTTAATTGAATAAAAACCAAAGCTAAGCCTTCAGTCTGAATCTTTTTTATGATGGGCACAAGCCATGTATTTTCTTCATCTTTGTTACACGATGCATATTTCAGTGACTAAACGCCCCTTCCCATTTTAGTATATTAGGTTATGTCAGTACATACTTGAGAGAGACATAAATTGCCTCTCGGTATACCTATATGATTCGTGATGTGTTCACATATATGTCATAATATTTATTAATATATAAAATGATCAGATGAGTCACCTGTGATTTTTTAAATGTCTTCAAATGTAGGAATGTTTTGTTGTATGCATAAATGTTTGTAAAATTTATGGGAGTGTTATTTAAAGTGGTGATAATTTAAACGGTGTCCCCTTGATGTAAGATGTAGAACTATTCTGCACTTAAAATACAGAGATTTCACCTTTCTACCCACTTCAGGTTTGTAAAGTTCGCTATCATATGAATCTGAGGGTTGTAGTCATTCCAATATAATGATCAAGTGAATGAATCAATTAATCATTAGACACAAATGTCATTGAATACAGAATAGTTGAGTTACAGTTAAGGAGGGAACCATAATTTTGGCTAACCCTATAAAATCTATAATAAGGTTGTTTTCACATATATTTTTTTCCCACATAAATTCTTTGGTGTTCCCCCCCCCTTTTTAGCGCTGTGATTGATGAACATGCAATGTGAGATTCAAATAATTGCACCGAGTATGTTTATTTGAATAATTGCCCCATTGCACAATCAAATAAATCTGTTGAGTGTGTTTGTTTGAATGTTTTCACATGTACATGGGATCACATACTCAAATAAATGCAGCTGTGTTTATTACGATGTGTGGGGCTCCAGATATACACATGCTTGTTTGTGTGTCTATCTAGGGCCCTACAGCCCCTGAATGGCCCTCACACGTCTTGGAGCAAAAGCGTGGTTAACAATTTTTCAGTTCAAATACATGGAAACGTATTATTGGGCAATTTCCTCAAATTTGTGACTAAGATTGCTTTCATTAAGGCTTACATCCTTAGAAAGATAGAAAATAACCCTTTTGGCGGCGGGGGGGAGGGGAGCTATCTGATTGTGAAAAGTAACTAATAAATTTATTCATATTTATTCAAATACTCCATTCTCTTTTCCTTCCTCCGAGCCCGCCCACTCCGCCCCCAGTCCAATTCACGCTAAAGAAGATGTATGTTTTGTTTAGTTCTTGCTGAGAAATCCTGATACTCATCTCTCTTCCCCGTTATTTCAGGCCTAGGCCTACAGTGTCATGCGAAAAAAGAAAAGATTGCACAGATCTGCCAGAATACAAAAGGCTTTTGGAGAAAATGGACGGGGATGTTCAGTTGTTCCAACATTTCATCACCCTCCCCTTACCCCCTATTCTAGAAGAAAAGGGTTAGACTTCAAACTAAGAGTGTGGGAAGAGTAGCTATTTGATAAGGGTAAAGAGAAGAATACATCTGATGTTACTAAAATGCATGTCTCTTGATTATGGAGTGGGATTTCTTTTTTTTTTTTTTTGACCTTGAAAAGGAATCTTAGGGTAAGCCAAACATTTTTATTCGTCCCTAGAGTTGTAAGATCATGCTGTTCTAATGCACAATAGTGTTAGTGGATAAATGGCATTTTAAAAAATCTTTGATATGGGATACTGTAGTGATTGTCACAACTTTATGAGTGTTACCTGGTATTTCCAGACTCAGGTAATTCTGAGTCTGCCTCTGAAATGAAGCTAGAAAAAAATGACAAAGAAGGGGGTGGTGGGAGGGGGAAGGCAGAGTCTGCCCACTCTCCCACGTGCACGCTTTCTTCTTTCCAAGGAGAAAGAGTAAG